CCCTCCCTTCTTTCTTTCTTTCTTTCTTTCTTTCTTTCTTTCTTTCTTTCATGTGTATGAATGTCGTCTCGATGCACATTGCACATGTGTGTACCGTGTGCTTGGAGTGTCCATGAAATCCAGAAGAGGAATCAGTTCCCTTGAAACTGGAGTTGCAGATGACTGTGAGTGTGCTGGTAACTGAACCTGGATTCTCTGCAAGAGCAGGAAATGCTCTTAATCACTGAGTCATCTCTCTAGACCCTGGGATAGTGTCCCTGCCCCTGCTCCCCATGACAGGGTTTCTCTGTGTAGCCCTGGCTGCCTTGGAACTCACTTTATAGACCAGGCTGGCCTTGAATTCAGAGATCTGCCTGCCTCTGCCTTTTAAGTGCTAGGACTAAAGTTTGTGTGCCACCTTGCCTGCTTGGGAAGGCTTTTAAACACATACCTTGAGGGACGCAGTCAAGCCACAGCAGTTGCTATTACCTGTCCTCCTCCAAGGCCCCCTGTGGGACCTTAGGGGTGCTTCTCAGGCAGGAAACATGTGTCAACATTCTCTATGACAGCTTGTCTTAGTTACTTTTCTATTGCAGGGACAAAACACCATGACTACAGCAACTTATAAAGGAAAGCATTTAATTTGGGGTTCATGGTTCCAGAGCCTGTGACCATCATGGCGGGGAGCACGGCAGCAGTCAGGCAGGCATGGCAGTAGAGCAGTAGCGAAGAGCTAAGCAGGAGTCAGAGGGGCACTGGGAAGGGTTGTTGAAACCTCAAAGTGACACACCTCTTCCAACACATCTCATAATCCTTTCAGCAATTCCACCAGCTGGTGACCAGGTATTCAAATATATGAGCCTGGGGTTTGGAGGGAGGATTTGAACATTCTCTTTCAAACCACCACACATCATGTCTGAGCTCAGCAAAGACAAGAGCTAGGAGACCTTTTCATCTTGAGGCGAGTCCTGCCTGCATTCAGACTATGTCTGGGATTCTTGTGATGCTTTAGAGTTGACAAGGCCTTTAGAACTAACTTTCCCCGAATGCAGTTTTATACAGGAGGAATAGCTTCTAGCCTAAATAAGTCACGTGTCTAAGGTCATGAACTAAGCACACGACCCAGCCTGGAGAGATGGCTTGGGGGTTAAGATTACTGGCCAGCTTGGCAGCTCACAATCATCTGTTAACTCCAGTTGTAGGGAATCTGTCACCCTCTTCTGGCCACAGAGAGTACTGCACATACATGGTGCACATCCGTAGTGCAGGCCAACACTCACACACTAAAATAAAAATAAAGCCATCTTAAAGGCACAGCCTTGTCACAGAACTTTTGGAGCAATATAGATGCTTATGGTTCCTACTTTGTCCCCTTCTGATCCAGCCTCCTTATTTTAGGATAGCTTTTAGCTCCATCCTCAAGTCCTGTTACCACATGCTAATTCAGATTATTCACCTTTATTCAGTGTGTTGCTGGTTCAGCTAAATGATGGAATTCATCTTGTCTCTTTCATTTTAAATACAGGATTTGAGGCAAAGTGGTCTACCAAGGAGACATGACATAGGTAAGTAGTGGGCTTTTCTTATTTTTACATGTGTATGGTACAGTGCGTGTGTCTATGTTTGCATATGTATGGGTTTTACATGTGTGCAGGTGTGCATGTACGCACATGTCCTCCTCATTTGCTCTCTGTTTTATGTGCTGAGCAGGGTATATCTGAACTGCTGGGTCACCAAGCCTAGTCAGCCATCTTGTCCCAGGCTTTTCTGTCTCTGCCTAATGAGTCTGGTTTCTATGTGGGTTCTGGGGATCCAAACTCAAGTCCCCGTGCTTGCATGGCCAGCCATGAATCATCTCCAACAATAATTTGTTTTTTAAAAAGATGTATTTATTTTTACCTTATGTGCGTTGGTGTGTTGATTGCATATGTGAAGGTGTCAGATCCCCTGGAACTAGAGTCATAAGACTGTTGTGAGCTCCCATGTGGTTGGTAGGAATTGAACCTGGGTCCTCTGGAAGAACAGCCAGTGCTCTTAACCACTAAGCCATCTCTCTAGCCTTGTGTTTTTTGTTTTTTTGTTTTTTTTAAAGACAGGCTCTCTCTATGGAGTTCTGGCTGATCTTGAACACACAAAGATCCACCTGTTTCTGCCTCCTGAGTGCTAGAATTAAAAATATGTACCACCACCACTCAGACCCAGCAAGGAATGTGTCTGTGTGTCTTTGTTGTAAGTTATATTCTAGTGAGGTGGATTTTCCTCTTTGGTTATACTTAATATTTTGTTGGTTTTGGCTAGCCTAAAGCTTGCCATCATGTAGAACTTGGGCGAACACGCTCATGGCTTTTGATCTGTGTGGAGTATTTTCTGGGGCTGTCCATTTATTGCTCGTTTCTGGAGGAGAAACACTGCCTATCATTTAGTGTCATGGACACGTTTGCTGATAGCAAACTCTATCAAGCTTAGAAAATAGCAGTGAAAGCGTGCAGGAAAGAGGGGCCTCACCTCGTACAGCTGTGTCATCGGGGCAGCAGAGTCAGGTGGCTGGCTGCATGGCATGCCAGAGAAGGCTACGGAGACCAGCACTGGGCTGGACTCAGCCAGAGCCTGACTCTCTGAGGGAGCACTCAGGTTATAGATAGAAAACTTTTCTTATTTCAGATATAATGAACAGCAGGACCGTAAGTGAATGCACTCATACCGGGCAACAAACTAGATCAATCTGGTTCTTTTCCTGGAGTGGATAATCTCTCATTCGTTATCCACCACGCCCCATGTCCCAGATAACTCTCCCATATACATCTGTCCCCAGGACAGGTTCCCCTCCTCTGGGAAGTCATTGACACCCCAGTTTCCTCTTGGCCCTTGATGCCTTTTCCAGTTTGAAGCCAGTTAGTTCATAGTCCTGGCATCTTAGCATCTGTATAAATCTTTCATGATCTGACTTAGCTGAGCCCGCCCACCCTCTAACTTCATCACCTGGGCACCGGAAATCTTTTTAGAGCGTGTTTCTGGACTCCTCCCGGCATGCAGATGCTGCAGAGATAGAGTATAGTAACCCCCTTTCTTCCTCAGCTACTGTCCTTTGTGTACAACTGTGTAGGAAGCTGCAGCCCATATGAAGGAATGCAGCAGGTCCCTCTGTGACCTGGGCCCACTGTCTTCTGTGCCTCCATATCACCCACGAGTGAGTGACTCTGGCTCTCCACCCAGTTCTGTGGTCCCAGCCAGGTCTTGGCTCTGCCTTGGGCTCTGCTTCCGTGCTGCTTCTGTGCACCTGACTCTGAGCAGGTTACTCAAGATGCAGACGGATGGGTTTCGAACATAATTGTAGTCCACGGAAAAGGAAGGGCCAGTACGACCTCAGCTATATGAAAAGATCAAGGACGAACATGACTCACACGACGAAGATGCCTGAAAGGGGAGAATTTGCTTTTGGTTTTCTAGAATAGTCTTTTCCCTTCGAGGAGGATCTGTTGTCTGGGGAGAGAGAACAGTGGCAGCTTTGCTGAGCTGGTAGACGCAGCAGGGCTGCTTATGGTGGCGAGCATCGGATTAGCCTTTTGACAGGTGGATTATTGTAGTACAGAATCTATTAGGAAATAAACCGGACTTACGAGATGCTTTGAGGACTAATGCAAAGAATGCCTGGATATCCACCAGCCAGGTTAAGAAGTAAAACATTACTCAGAGAACGGAAAGCTTTTATGCTTTACCCCCAGTTATGTTTGTCACTCATGGAATCTTTTACGCTTTTAAGTAACATATATGTAGCGTGTAACAGGGTAGCTTTTATTGTAAATTGCACACAAACTAGAGATACCCAGAGAGGGAGTATCAGTTGAAGAACTGTCTTTATCAGATTGGCTTGTGGGAATGTCATTGGACTATTTTCTTGGAGAAGGGCCTGGCCCGCCATGCACAATGTCATGCCTAGGCAGGTGGGCCTGGGCTGTGTAAGATACCAGCCTGAGCAAGCTAGGGAGAGCGAACCACTAAGCAGTGTCCCTCCGTGGTCTCTGCATCAGTTCCTGCCCTGAGTTCTTGCCTTGGCTTCCCTGGAAGATAGTTTGTAACCTGTAAACCAAATAAACTCTTCCACAAGTTGGTTTTGGTCATCATGTTTATCACAGCAACAGGGTCATATTGAACAGTATTAGTATTATCTATGTGATGTATGTTTCTGTTTATACTTGTGAGTTACCGACGTACAGATTTTCCTTCTTTGTTTTGTATTTTGGCAGTATTATAACATTCTACCCATGAGATTAATATAGAATATCTTGATTTATACACGTAGTCTTAGTTATTGCTTTTATTAATTAGTGATAGCTAATTAGTCCATGCTAGTTGATTTCCACTGCTGTGTAGCATTCTGATTTACATGTGTTGCTGGTAGATAGTCACGTTGCTTCCAGTTTTTCTTTCCACTTGGTTTCTTAAGGATGACTGAGAGGTGGGGTGTATGTCACTGGAAAATGCATCTTCAATTTAATTAAAAATTGGAAGCAAATCCCCCTAAGCTTATTTATTCCATTTCTTTGTTTTTAATATTTTATAATTATTTATGTGTATGAGCGTTTTGACTACATGTATGTCTGTGCACCTTGTGTGTGCAGTACCCACGGAGGCCAGAAGAGGGCATCAGATTCCACAGAATTGGAGTTACAGATAGCTTTGAGCTTTCATGTGGGTGCTGGGAACTGAACCCAGGTCCTCTACAAGAGTGACAAGTGCTCTTAACCACTGAGCCATCTCTCTAGCTCCTATTCCATGCTTTAAAAAAAGCCATTTTTATTATCGGGCCTTTGATATGTTAGTTTATATCAGTGTTTCACATTTGCTACCCCTTTGGGGGGGGGTCAAATGACCCTTTCCCAGGGGCAATGTATCAGATATCTTGCATATCAGGTATTATGATTCATAACAGTAGCAACATTATAGTTATGAAGTAGCAATGAAATAATTCTACGGTTGGGCAGTAACCACAACATGAGGACCTGTATTGAAGGGTCGCAGCATTAGGAAAGGCTGAGAGCCACTGTCTTTTATAGTTATATTACAGGTAGATCAAAGATAATATTTTGTTTGAGAAAGAAGACTCCCTTTTAACCTTCTCCCTGTGCTTAATGTACGGAGCGGAAGCCAGCTTAGAATAGAACACATACGTGAAATGTTCCTATTTATATAGACAGGAAAAGGAACTAGGTCGTATTCACTTAGGTTGCTCAGAATGGCTTTTTAAAAATATTTATTGAATTTTATTTAGTCAAAGAGCATTTCTGATTATTTTTAGGACCTAGATGGCTCCCTGTGGAACTATCAGTTGTGTGAATATTAGAACAAGGGAAGAAATGAACAGACCACTAGAATCAAATGGAACGAGAAAGCACAGTAGAATACAATGAAAGTCAAATTAGCATCCTTGGTCCGAAATGTTAGAGATGGGGGCCTCTGGTGGCAGGAAGGACCCCACTTCGATTTGCTATAAACCTGGCTGGAGGTCGCAAATGACATCTCACCGTACCCTGGTTCTCTGTGTTTCTTTATTCCAATTTCAGTTCTGAGGAGGCCTGATGTGTTTCTCCTGACAGTGACCCGAGCAACAGCCACATGGGTTTTTTTTGTTTTTGTTTTTGTTTTTTTTTGGAGGGGGTCTTCCCCAGGTGGTTGGAGGTTTGCCCTGAGCTTTCTGTTGTGAAAGGCTGGCTGTGTTAAGGTGGGTTCTGCACTCAGGGTGCTGTGAGATACTGTCTTCTGTGCAACCCTCCCTGCTAGCCCTTGCTTCTGTGGGATGGCTCTGGCCAGTTTCCTGGAGATAATTCACAATCCTGGCTAGTGCCTTGCGAATCAGGGAGGGGATTATTGCCTTGCTTATTTGAAAATCCTGTGACCTCATGGGATGTAGACAGTGTCACTGTAAAAGGCCATCTGGAACATTCTTGAAATATTGCATATTCAAGTAGTTTAGTTATTGCATGTTTTCTTAAAATCTACGTATTGAAGGCTTGGTCACCAGCCCACAGCGCTGTCAGGAAATAATGAATCCTTGAAGAAGGGAGAAGCTAGGTGAGTGGGGCCGTGTCATTGAAGGGAGCCATGTTGGGATGCTGGCTTCTTTGTGCCTTTCTTTGTTTCCTAGACTTCAGTGAGGCCAGTAGGCCCTGTGTTGTTGCTTCTGTGACGCACCCCCTCCTCCCCACCAGTCCTTAGCAGAAACAGTTTGTAGGAGGGAAGGGAATCTGGGCTCCTGGTTTTAGAGCATTTCAGTCAGTCAGGTGGGGAAGGCTGAGGGTAGTCTTTGAGGTGGGACTATGCAGAGTCGCCTCATGTCATAGACAATCAGGAAGCAGAACGTGAGCCAGGAGCCAGGAGTCAAGCAAGGATAACTGTCAAAGGCCCCTTTGACCTTCCTTCTGCAACCAGGCCCAACAGGATCCGATAGGTCCCACAGTGGCCCACAATAGCAATGGCTGCTGGGACCAAGCTTTCAGCATGAGCCTGTGAGGGACGTTTCCAATTCGAACCACGATAGGCACCACATTGCCTCCCGCCACACACGTGGAAGACGGTGGGGCTAAGTGAGCGTGGGTCGGGACCACCAACACTTGAGCCAAAGGAAACGTTTCCTTCGTGTGCATTGATGGTGCCAAGATTTTACCATATAATAAAATGGTTCGCGCTCTCAGAATTTTGGAGGCTAAAATCCATGGTGAAGCTGTCTTCAGGGTTGACTCCTGAAGGATGCGGGGGTTGGGCAGGGGTGGTGGTGGTGGTGATGATAGTGGATTTTCTCCAGGCTCTTCCTTGGCTTGTAGATACCAATTCCTGTGTTTTCACCCTGTCTTTGCCCTGTGTATTTGAGTGTCCAGTTCCCCCTCCTCTATAAGGACACTAGTCATTCTGGCCTTTGTAATGACCCCAGGTTAGCCTGATGACTCTGGAAGACCGAGTTCTACACAGGATCATGTTCTGAGGGCTACAACTTGGCATATGTCTTTGGTGGCAGGGACAGTTCACACCATAGCACAGTGTACGATTATGTTGGGCCTGTTGGAAGGTCACCGGATGGAGTGGTGGTTTATTTTGCAGATGGAAGGAGACCTATAGTTTGTTATCAAAGGTTTTGTCTAGTGTGGTGAGCTTGTTTGCATAACACCTCTCGGAAGAAAGTCTTGGACATGGCTTTAAAGGTAGAAAAGATTTTGGCTCTAGAGTTATATAAATAAAACGATTCCAGGGTTGGTGAAATGGCGCAGTGGCTAAGAACACTGGCTGCTCTTGCAGAGGACCTGGGCTTAGTTCTCAGCACCCACATGGTGGCTCACAGCTGTTGTAACTCTAGTTTCAGGAGCTCTGACGTCCCCTTCTGGCCTCTGTGGGTACTGCACACATGTGGTGCATATACACACATGCAGGCAAAATACCCATACACATAAGATTTCTAAAAGTGTAGAATTTTCCCTTCAGGGTCTATCGCTTGAATTTTTGGTTTATAACTGTGGTCTTATGTTGATGTTCAAGTTTGTTTTAATCACTGTTAATCACTTTTTCTTTGTTTGTTTTAGACTTAAAAGAAATTGTGTTTGTCATCCAGAGTCAAAGTAATTCTTTTCACGCCAGGAGAGCAGAACAGTTGAAAAGAAACATCTTAAAGCAGGCTGCAAATCTGACACAGGTACGTAGAGCCGCCCAGAGGTATGCAAGGCTAATTATGTATATATTGAGATATTTATGTTTTTCTAAATCTATAGAAAATAAATTTTATTCAGGTGAGAATAACTCTTGGGGCTCACTATACTTCTTTAATGTCGACTACTGCTGAAAATGTTCTCTCATGGTGCGTATATATTTAATTATGAGTTATGTAACTGTGTAGGGCTACCGTGGCTTTGTCATGACTGTTAGAATAAAATGGAAGAAATGATATTTTAAAAGAAGTAGGGATAATTAGCATGCAAACTTTCGGCAACACATTCTGAGGCGGTTTTCATGTTGAAATAACATTCTCATTAATTAATCTTAGTGTAGTGCCCCCTCTATGAGTTTCTTAATCCATGATTTTCTTTTTAATTGGGTACCACTAATTGAACCTTCGATCTGATTTATAGTGTAATATCCCAGAAGGATTATGGAGAGAAAAAGAAACACATATAGCTCCATGTTAATGACATGTGGAAGAGGTGTGAACTGCATCTAGGGTGTTCTGAATAATGCAGGTGTTTTGAATGAGGAAGCTCTGGTTTCTTATACCATAAGTCATTCCCTTTATTTGATGAGGACATAGTTCAAGCCTCCTAGTGGGTATCTGAAGCCACAAATAGACCTGTATTCTATATGCAGTGTTTTCCTCATACACACACACCTCTATTACATAAGATAAAATTAGTTTATTAGTCAATCACACTGAGATTACCGGTATCTAAAAGCTGAGTAATTAGAACAGTGTATTGTCATGTCAGCCCGTTGCCTCAATGCTCTGGATGTGAACCTGGAGACGCCTGAAGCAGGCACTGTAGTGTGCCGGGTGTCAGCACTGTACCTGACATGGCTGTCAGTCACCAGTGGATGGGCGTTAGCTGTGAGGATATGCTGGACCAAGGCCTGATGGGTGTCCTGGCAGGGAATTTAGAAGCCCAATACTTTATCATATGTCTCAGAATAGCACGTGGCTTTAAAGCTGACAGTTAGGTAGGATATTTTCCATCTATTATTTTCAATCACAGTTGCCCTTGGGGAGTTGAGGCTGCAGATAAGGGGTCTGCCATCTGTCCACAGATGCTTTCTCCTTTTGCTTTCTCTCCTCTTCTTTCCCCTGCCTCCTTCCCCATTCCTCTTCCTCCTCTCCTGTTTCTTCTCCAATCTTCTTCTTTTTTATATATATATATATATATAATTTTTTTCTTCAAATTGTAATTTATACTCATTAACACAGGGGTTATAAACACAAAAAGGCAGGACTTGGGGAAGGGGATGACACTGGAGCGTGGGTGTTCAGGGGGAATACAGATATTTTTCAGAACAGGGTATTGGCTGGGTGAGGGTTCAGAGGAGAGGTCACTATGACTCTGCCTATGATTCACTTGTCCTTATCTAAGTTGGTATTATCTGTCAAGGCTACCTATTTACAAGGTCTGTGACTACTCAGGCTGGTAAATTTCCACAAAAGCTGCCTGTTTACAATAGCTTATAGCCATCTGTTTCAATGTTTATCCACAGAGACCCAAGACTTGGTGTTAGTATACATGTATGACATGCCTATTGCTGATTTTAGGCCTATGGCTGATTTTAGGCCTTCAGTGTGTAAGCAGGGCTGCCCCTGACATCTCCTCCCTTCTTTAAGTATAGGTGGGCTGTGGCGAATCTAATCTTGCGAAGGCGGGGATAGAGGCCTGACCTCCAGTAATTGAAGGGGACCTTGTAATGGTTCCGGTCCCCCTGTCGTTGTCCAGTGAGGCATGAGGGCCATACCCGTCCCGTGTCTTTTTCCTGGAGAGGGGATACTTTTGACATCAACCCCTATGCAGTCAGGCTTGTCCCTCAGGGAACCCAGAGAGATATTTTTAACTTTTATTGATATTCCCTTGCAGTGCTTAGCCTCGCAGCCTAAGCAAGAATTCAGGTTGCCTGTCAAGAGGGGGTTCTGGGTGGCCCCTCTCTGCCTGGTCTAGGGGCAGAAGTACTCTCTTTTAGGTTGGGTGGAGATGCTTCTCCCATCTTCTACCTCCTTCCCTTCTCCTTCCTTCTTCCTTCCCTCTTCCTATTTCTTTTCCTCCTTCTTCCTTTGAGACAGGGTCTCACTCTGTAGCCCAGGCTGGCTTGGGACGTGTTATATAGACTAAGCTGGCCTACAGAGAGATCCCCATGCCTCTGCTTCCTGAATGCTGTAATTAAGGTGGGCATCAACATGGCTGAGAGATATTTCTTTTTTATGAGGCCCAGACACTCACGTGCGCACGCACGCATGCGTGCTCATACACACACAAATCCTTTCTACACCAGTTGCCTTGGCCCTCAAGACTGCCGACCTGAGGATCAGCGTTCTCTCTTGCTTATCTCTGTTTGTCCCACTAGAGGCGCTCTTTCAGTGCACTGCAGGATGCCACCTGGAAGAGGGAACCCCAGTGGCCTGAATAATCTCTCTCTTGGGTTCAGGCAAGCATGAACTGCACGAACTCCCGCAGGGAGACCTTGGAAATTCCCCAAACGTAGTTAGTGATGACCTCAGACACATTGAGACTGGGTCACTTACTCCCGTGAGAACCGCGGGCACACTTTTCCATGTGTTCTTGCCTGGGCCCTGCTTCCATCTCAGAGAGGCCGTTTTGTTTGTTCCTATGATAACTGTGCTACCATTCTTGTCAACAATATGGATGGTACCCTGTGCCAACCAGGCCTGTGTGATTGAATTTACTCCATAGTTTTTCTTCTGTATGTTCACTCCCACCCTTTAATCTTTCTCTTCATGTCCTGGTGTGTGTGTGTGTGTGAGCGCGTGCGCGCACATGTGTGCATCTGGCAGTCCCCCAGAATCTTTGGAGCAGGGTGGGGCTCCTGGGACTTGGCTCAGTGATAATGAGATATCTGGATACCTGTTGATGGGAAGCAATAGAAATAAAATGTACCACACACAACACACACACACGCACACACACACACACGAAAAGTGTTACATGCAAGTATATGAGCATATATATGTATACATGCATACACACATAGATGAAAATGTTGCATGCATATACATACACATGTATATGCGTAGACACATATACACGCTGAAGGTGCCGTTTGACGGGCTGTGCCTGCTTCTTTTGGGGCTTTGGTTGCTGGATTCTTAGCATTGATTCTAGGCTCTGGGGGAGTGTGGCTCCAGGCTCCCACCAAAGCCAGACACAGCAGTTGTGATCAGGAATGGAGACTGTTTGCCCCTTCATGTCTCTAGTAGCTTAGTTTTATTTCTGGGGCTTGAGCATTAGCCTCCTGCACACCGGACACATGCGTGCTCCTCCTGAGAGTGTGGATTCATCAGAACAGTGGTGACCTTCCACAGTTCCTGTGTGTGTGTGTGTGTGTGCGTGCTTGTGTATATGTGTGTATATGTGTATACATATGTGTGTATGTGAATATATATATGTGTATGTGTGCATATATATGTTTGTGTGTATATAGGTGTCTATATATGTGTACATACATTGTGTGTGTGTATGCATGTAAGCGTGTATATGTGTATGTATATGTGTATGTGTTTGTGTATACATGTGTATGTATATATAGTTATCTGTATATATGTTTGTATGTGTGTTTCTGTGTGTGTCCGAGTGTACATTTGGGCCTGTGCATGTGTTTGGCCAGAGGACAACCTTGGTATAGTTCTTAGGCAATCTTCCTCCATTCTTCCTCCTCCCCGCCCTCCTTCCCACCCTCTCTTCCTCTCTCTCCTTCCTTTCTTTCCTTCTTTTGTGATAGGATCTCTCAGTGGCCTGGAACTCACCCAGTAGGCCCAGGAAGGCTAACCTGGCTGGCCACTGAGCCTCAGGATCCACCCACTCCTAGTCTTCCTCTCAGCACTGGGGTTTAGATGCATTCTGCTATGACCACCCTTTACTTGGGTGCTATGGCTCTGACGTCAGTTCCTCCTGCTTGAATGATAAGCACTTTTATACAGCTCCAGCTCCAGGGGATCTGACGCCCTCTTATGGTCCCTGAGGGTAACTGCATGAGTCTGCACATACTCGTTTATGTTCACACATTGATGGTATAGGGGTGAGTGCTGTAAGTCCCGTGATTATAGGCAGGTGTCACCGTACTTGGGCTCTCTGTACCAAATTGACCCATGGTTGTAAGCCACTCTTTCCTGGTCCTACTTCTGTATCATGTTCAAACCTGTTATATCTTGTACAAACCTATTGTATCTTGTACAGACCTTCTGTTCTGTATCATGCACAAACCTGTTGTATTCATTTTGCTAATTTTGTGTTATTACTCATTACCCATTTATCTTTCTCCTCCACAGATGTTAAAGGCAGAGACCACACACACACACACACACACATACACACACACACACACACACACACTCTCCATTAATTTCTGATCACTTGGAACAAAGCTGTTTGTGTGACTTACCCTGAGCCCCCAAATTCATTTTTTTTTTCTGAGCAACTTTTTTCCCTTTTGTAGTAGGTGTTTCTTTTACTTTAGAAGCAAGTGAAAAAAGATCAGTTTATTTAATTTTCTGTGTATGAGTATTTTTGTCTGTGTACCACATGCACACAGTGTAGAGGCCAGAAGAAGGCATCAGATCCCCTGAAACTGGAGTTGTGATGGCTGTGAGCCCTCATGTAGGAACTGAACCCCGGTCTTCTGCAAGAGGAGCCAGTGCTCTTAGTTGCTGAGCCATCTCTCTAGCCCACAAATGAATATCTCAAGGGCACAGTTCAGTCGCATCAGGTATATTCTTGTACATCTCCACAGCCCCTTTATGTAATAAAACTAATACTGTATACTTCTAAACAACTCCATGCGCCTCCTTTTCTGCAGCCCCAAGTAACCCCCATTCTCTGTAAGTGACTGCTATGGATAAACCTAGACTGGGGGAGGGGACGATTCTTAGAGTAATCATCCTTTTGGGACTGGCTTGCTTCGCTTAACTATGTTTCAAAAGTTCCTTTGTTCAAA